CTTTTATAACATGTTTTACTACAATAAAAAGTAAGTGTTTAACCCAAGAGCAAGATTTACAAAATTATAAATAATAATTATTATGACATAAGTAGCATAGGAAGTCATAGACAGTAAGAGTTTTAGACTTGTAACCCCATTTACATGGGTTTTTTGGTATTTACATTCATAATTTTTATTCAAAAATCAGGAAAAAATATTTTCTTTCATTCTTTAAAATTCCCAGTGAAACCAGTGCCAGATCTGAGTAGGGCCATGGGTTCAGTTTGACTCACACAACTGTACAGCTGCGGGCCACAGCACACGTTTCCCCAGCATTGCCAGTACACGTGTGATGGTAAGGCCAATAACAATGACAGAAATAAGTGCCCTCACGGCTTGGGCTCCTTCTCCAAACAATTGACATCTTTACCGCTAGATCTATACACAAGATGGGACGGCCCTACATATGCCTGATACTAGTTGTCATGGGGAGGAAACAGAATGTCATGGATCACTTTGTACTTCTTCAAAAAAAATAATTTCGCTTCCTTTCACTTCGAGTCTAAATCCTTTCACATTCAGGCAATAATTATGTAAAATGGAACATAGGCATAACAATTTCTTATTATTTAAAATTAGCAGGGGGAAAGCCATGATGTAACACATTCTGGATTCCAATCTGCTAACTGTATAGTCCTGCTTCACTCAGGACTATATTTAGCCAAACTTCCCAAGCCTCCCTGACCTCATTGTGGTACTAGGAGTTGAACCCAGGGCCGTGTGTGTGATAGAAAGCAGTCCAGTGCTGAGCACTACCCCCAGCCATCTTTTAAAAAGTTTTAAATTTTATTTTTCACATATATGGGTGTTTTGCCTGCAAATTTGTGTACCACATGCAGTGCCTGAAGAGGCCAGAAGAGGGCGTCAAATTTTCTGGATGTTCTGGAGATGGAGTTAGAGCTGCTTGTGAGCAGTCATATGACTGCTGGGAATTGAACTCAGGTCCTCTGGAAGAACAGCCAGTGTTCTTAACCACTGAGCCATCTCTCCACTGCCCTCCAGCTCTTCTTTGTTTTTCTCCTCCTCCTCCTCCTCCTCCTCCTCCTCCTCTCTCTCCTCCTTTTTAAATTTTGAGGCCAGGTTTCACAAAGTTGTCTAGACCAGTCTCAAACTCAATGTATAGCCCAGACAGGCCTTGAATGTTGCAATCAGCCTCTGAGGAGCTGAGATCATGGGCCTGCTCCACCAAGCCCACCTGAGCTTTAAAAAAAAAAAAAAATACATGAATGGTTGCCATCATGTGAGATGGTTTTAATTAAATTTTGCTTAGCTAGAAGGGATTAATGAAAGGTAACGTCACATCAAAATTCAATGAAATGAAAATCTCTAAGACACCATGTGCTTTCAGTTTCATAGGGAAAGTGAGGGAAAATTGAACTTATATTTGCATTTTAAAGGAAAATTATTGGTTTCAGATTTGTAACAATGAAAACAGTCTTCTCCTAGGATACATGTTAAAGTTGTGTGGAAACAAATCAAATCAATGTGCCATGCCACCCAGTATAAAGAATGCCATTTACCAGATGGCACATTGCAGCCTCTAAGCAGGTACGCACACGCCCAAATGTTTTCAAAACTCCTCTTTCCATACCTGGCCGTGCAACCATCTTCCTCCACTCTTCCTCCCTCCCCCTTTTCTAGAATTTCACTGAGTACTCCTAAGTGTCCTCTCTTTGTGTTCCCGCCCCCTGCGTGGATCCGCAACATCTTCTGAAGGACTGAAGGATGGAGGCCAAGAAAGACAGGCTCCTCCAAAGTTACCGGCTCCAGCGGCTAGGCGAATGGTATGACCATCTGAGAGCCGAAGGGGAACCCTGGGACAAGGCTGGAGCAAAGAAGGTTAAGGAGAACTAACAAGTCAGAAATCAGTGTCTGGGGCCTTCACCTTCATTCAGACTCTTGGTCACGTGAGCCATTCCGGAACTTTAAGAATGTCATCTGCTTCATGTATGTCTCTACCTCATACACACCATACAGTTTAAGATATTGGAGAACAAGGTCACATTATGCGTGTTTCTATTGTTGGTGCCGCTCCGAATTAGATGATTTTCTGCTCTCAGAATCCTATGTGGTAAAGGGATTGATGGCTGGGAAGGTGTGTGGGGGTGTGTGAGTTGTAGAGTGTGGGTACAGGAGGTCAAAAATGGTGAGGGTGGACTTGGAATGTGGGACTTACCTAAGTATCATAGAGGCTGAGGGAGAAAATAGTCTCCATGTGGCTTAGACCTGGGGTTCTGTCCTAGACAAGCTGAGCAGGTTTGCTTCATGACTACCCAGGTAGACAGGCAAACAGATCCAGCATCAAGACGCCTGGAGGCAGGCAGGCCAAACTTTCTAACAAGTTGTCTACACAGTGAAGGGAACCCCGGGAGCCAAAGAGGTGCCAGGAACATTCACAGGTGGTTGGTGCTGGGAAGGGTGGGGTGATCTGAGAGCTGGGAGAAGACTAAGGAGAAAGCTGGGGCAAAGGGAAGTTGCCTATGGATTGGGTGGCATGGGCCTGTGGTCCCAGCTGCTCAGGAGGATCACGAATTTAAGGCCTGCCTGAGCTATATGAGGTTCAAACAGAGTAACTTAGGAAGGGCCTGTCTCAAAAAAAATAAAATAAAATAAAAAATAAATAAAATAAAATAAAAACAATTAAAAGGCCAGTGTTATAGTTCAGTGGTTAATTTATAGCATTCAGAAGGCCACTGGTTCAATCCCTCCTCTCCCCAACCCCCCCCACCGTGTGTGTGTGTGTGTGTGTGTGTGTGTGTGTGTGTGTGTGTGTGTGTTCCCTGCTCCCTTCTAATCTCCCACTTCTCTCCTTTACTGAGCTGCAGGGTGAACCCAGCCGTACGCACGTTGGAAGATGAACAGAAGCACTTTGGCCTTTCTCCCCTTCCCTGCCACTGTGGTGAGACAGGGTAGCCTGCTGCTCCTCTCTGTCTTTAAAAACCACACACCTAGAACAATGTGCTATCTGTGATCCCTTTGAACAGGCTCCCAGCAGAGGGTGAGACAAAGGCACAGGACAGATGGCATGTGACTTGTAAACACTGATGATTCCTGAAGATACAAGATGGGAACGTGGTCTTTATGACCTTATTCTCTACTTCTGTGCTTATCTGAAAATAGAAATATTTAAAGCTAAAAACATAAATTAGATGGGGTCTTACAAACATGGCCAAACTTTATTTCTCTACAACTCAAGTCAGTGAGATCCTATGTAGAGTTAGGTTGTTGCAGATATAATTAATTAGATGGACTCATACATTGGTGTAGATCACATTCCTACCCAAGTGTGTAACTTACAAAAAGAGGCCATCCACAGAGAGAAGTCCATGTGAAGATAGAGTATTGGAGAAATTATTTTGGCCACTCCACGTAGTTAAAAGGATATTTATTAAATGGCGTAACTCACAAATTAAGTAATGGGTAGGTCGCAGGGTCTGGGGAAGGTGTATCGCAATCCAGCGGTGTTCTCCGGAGCTCTGCACAGTCAATCTGCACCGGTCAGCGTTCTGGCACCGAGAGAGCGCCCAGAGCGAGCGCTGGCCCATCCAGCTCTCGGGTCCCCAGGCGCCTCCCCTCGCCCCGCCTCGTAGGCGTGACAGTTGCCAGAGTCTCAATGGGGGTTGGAACTTCCAGAACCAAGCTGGAATGGCTACCCACTACAATAGAGACTGTCTAGAGTGATGTGTCTACAAGCCAAGGGATACCAGAAATTGCCACCAGCCACCAGAAGCAAGGGGTGAGTCACAGAGTAGATTCTCTGTCACAGCTCTTAGAAGAGGCCAGCCTTGCCAACAGTCAGCCTTTAGAACTGAAGGGCAACTTCTGTTCTCTAAGCCACTCAGTATGTGGTAATTTGTTATGGAAGCCCTGGAAATTCATACACGTATCAAGAAAGTTTCTAGAAAGTAAAAAGCTCAAGAGGCAAAAATGAAATGATGTAAACAAAACAAGAGGTAGGAGATTCAAGACATTCCTCCCTGACATCTCCATGAGATGGTGCATCTGTGTCTATCATATTTACCTACATCACTAGTGAACACATTAAGTCCAAAGTTACAATGAGCTATTGCCAGACAAATGAATTAGGACCGTGTTAATATTTCCATGGGGAAAGCATCAAAAGACAATAGCTGACTGTAAGCAAAAAGGTGATTCAAACCTGAACTGATAGGAAATGGAAACTGTGAAGTTCAGAAATATCTGGGACATTTGCATAGATCCCTTGCTCATAATTATGGATGGATTTAATAAAGCCAGAACTTTTATAGGGTTCAGCACCAGTATATTATCAAAATTCCACATTAAAATCATTAGCTTTCTTCTACACAGCATACCAGCTGGAATCTGCAGCCATAACTACACAGTGGTCACATTTGGGAAAACACTTGCTGGTCCTGAGCAGAATGTGGCTCCCACACAAGTTGACAACCATCCAGAAAATCCATTTGGAATGTACAAGGGATCCAAGGCCCAGGAGAGTGACCCACAGTTTCCTTTTTGCAAAGGATATTGCTAATTTAAAAGGCAGTAAGCATCCACAGCTAATCTGAGAACTGGAGTATCAGGAGACTTCAGGAAGAATCTGCTTTAATGACTTTGAAGCTGTGGAGACCTTTGGGGGCCTGAGGGAGGGTGAGTGGACAAGGCAATGGCTCCTTCTTGCCTCTGTTTTCATTTGGTCCCAGACTATAGTTTTATGCTTAAGTCAAAATAGCCCGTATTCCTTTTAAAGCATTTTCTTTGTGTGTGCTGCCATGCCACTGCATGGGTGTGGAGGTCAGAGGACAGCTTTGTGGTTCACCCTTCTACCTTTCCCTGCAGGGCTGCGAGGACTGAACTCGGGTTCAGGCTTATAGGACAAGTTCCCTACCCACTGAGCCATCTCGCTAGCCCTTTAATTCAGTTGTGATGGAATTGCAGTCTCAGAGCAGTCAACATTCTAGGTTCATACTGTGTAGCAACTGTGTTCATACTTGGCAACAAGGTCAAGGGCGTGATGAGGCCAAATCCTCTATCTTTCTGCCATTTGTAAGTCCATAATCTTGTACCTGTGTATGTCACTTAGCCAACAGTCAGGAAGCCACAGCAGACCCTGGGGGACACCAGGACTTCACATGACACTTGCAGGCATCTTGCTTACAAGAGACGATGGAAATCTGAGTTTGTTCTCGAGAAGGATGGTGTAGTTAGAAATGAGAATTCCCCAGGCGCCATGCTTGAGTAGTGAGAAAAAGAATCAGCGAAGAGCAGAGATGCCCTAAGGGAGATGCTAGCACAGAGCCGGGGCCCTCATCCCTGCCCGAGTCAGGGCAGACTTGGGACAGAAGGGTCTGGTGCATGGCAAAGACTAAAGGCCCGGGGACTCCTCTCCTCCCAGCTGGGGTGGCCAGCTGACAGAGTTTGGCAGTAACATTTATGCAAAATGATGAAAAGAGGCTTGAGCTGCCTCATGCAAATTGTGGAGACAGGTAGTCAAAGGCAAAACACAGGGCTGTTGGGAAGGAGCGTGACTCTCATCCAGAGAAAATGTTACTCTTGATTCTGGTTCCTAGAAGGAAATGATAAGGCTGTCCCAGGTATTTTAGGAAACACTGCTTTAATGAAATGTGCTCTACTATTATTTCATTCATTCATTCATTTGCCATGCAAATACAAAGCTCCTGTGAGCCATAGGGAGAGAACATTCTATAGTGTTCCATATTTAAGTTTCTGGTTTGGCTTTGACTGCAGTCAGTGTTCTGAGGAGGGAAGGGACCCTCTCAGAGCTGACAGAAGGATGTCAGGGTGTAGCTTGAAAACCAGGGTGTACTGAGAGCAAACAGGGTGTGATATTACCTCTGAAATTAGAGGCCACCACCACCGGCGGTAATTTTTAATTCTTCGAGATAAGTACATGCAGGAACTTTCCATAAATAAGTGCTTTCGTTTTCCCGAGATTACACTGAGCTCTGCTGACAAAGACTGCTCATATTGTTATGCAAATTTTCACCATGTAGCACATTCCCCTCTGCTTATCTTGGCTAACAATTCAAAAAAGAAGCCATAATACACTAATTACCTCCCTTTTATCAAGAACGTTGGGAATGAAGAAAACATCAGGGACGTGGAACAGCACATAATTACAAAGGAGGGGGCCAGAAGCCTCCAGCAAGGAAATCTGAAGCTATCCAAGAGATTCCAAAGCCGCAGGTGACTGTGGTGAATAACATGGAGGGGAACATTTTCTTTCACACAAATAAGGACTTTAAGGCATCCAGAGTGGCAGAAAAACAAATGAAAATTAGCAAATGAAAAGAAAAAAATCGCCGGGCGGTGGTGGCGCACGCCTTTAATCCCAGCACTCGGGAGGCAGAGGCAGGC